CTGGTGGTGATTGACAACATTTTGAAACAAAAGAGGTATTAAGTTGTTCTAATCTTACTACACCCAGATGCTTGTCTGATAGCAATGTTGCTAATTGACTAGCAAATATGGCAGTTAGTAAAAATACAAATTCACCAGGATATTTTCCCAGTACGAAAAAAGATGCAAAAATTTGTATTTTTATGAAAATTGAACATTATTAAAAAAAAAATTAGTATGAGGTTATTTTGAGGATATCAAAAAATATGCATGAAGACAGTATCAACCGACGTGCAGGATACATCATGGGAATGCTGAAATACAAAAAGTTTAGAATAGATTGAGTGAACTTCTTCCTATGGGTCGGTCAAACTCTGGGGGCTGCCATGTGTGCTTGTATTATTAGAGGACGCTTATGCGTGTACTCATTCCATATTTGTAATTCTCATTTCCTAATATGGTGGGGTAAAAATACCCAGTGCAATACTGCAAAATGTTGGCACACTGTAACTTTTGGCGTTCTGATGACAGATGCATAATAATAGTAATTATCAGATATCCTAATAATTCTGGACAACCACAAGTACCATACTCATTTCATACATGTAACTGCACAAAGATTTTTTCACCATTAATATCCAAACTAAGTTTTGAGATATTGTTAGAACTTTTTATGTGACTGTGAATTTTAGAGATGAGCAAAGACGAAGTAAACAGTATATTGTCATTATTATTGTTTTATATTTAATATTGTATAGTCAGTATCCATAAAGAATAATGACTTAGTCACATAAATTGATATTTTTTGTAAACTGAGAAAATGTATTTCATCTTTGGTAGCATGGTACATGTATTGTTTTATCACCAATGCAGTGTCATTTCAATACTAGATCAGTAATAGCTACGGTAATGCTATATGTTTCTCTTTCCTTTTTTTAAAATTTGGCAAATATTCTTCAGTTAACATTGAAATAGATGCCTGACATATTGCTTCATGTGTTGGTGTCTTTGTGGCAGCTGCTGTACGTCCTGTAGCAGCTGTCTCATATGTTTTAGTAGTGAACAAAAAAAAACCTTTTTTCCTATGTTTTGTGCTAGTCAGGCATGATGGTCTCATTAGGAATTATGAGACACAACTTCAGGTGACATGCATAAATATGATGAATAAAAAATGTTTATATAACATGCATTATTACCTTGATTAGTGAACAAGTACAAAACTACCTCATTCTAAAGTGGTATAAAATAGTACTGTAAATGCATAAATTATTCCCTTCCCTTCATTTTAATTTCACTATTTTTGTTGAGATTGTTCTGAATGGTGTAAGATCAGAACAACTGATTACGCACTTACCTGCAGACATTTTGTCTACAGGCGAGACAAATTAGCATTATTTCTATGTGTACACATGTCTGGGACTGTGGACAAACTCTGGTGGTGATTGACAATATTTTGAAACAAGGGAGGTATTAAGTTGTTCTAATCTTACTACACCCAGATGCTTGTCTGATAGCAGTGTTGCTAACTGACTAGCAAATTTGCTCACAAAAGTAAAAATACAAATTTTCATCAGTATATAGATGAAATAATTTTCTCAATTTCTGACAACAGATTATATGATGTCATAATTTACCCATAATCCTTTGCTTGAAAATCAGGATGGCTTACTACATAATACTGATGAAAAGCTGAATATCTAAAGAATGAAAAGTGATATAAAAAAAACTGTAATTTACATTCTCCTACATTTGTGGAGCTTTTTCTTATGTTGTTTGGTTTGATGTTTCCTTTAAGATAGTTTCGTGGATACTTAACCTGGATATTTTTCCAATACGAAAACAGATGCAAAAATTTGTGTTTTTTGAAAATTTAACAAAAAAATAGTGATTATCAGAATATTCTAATAATTCTTGATAATTACAAGTATCATACTCATCTTATAACTGCATTAAGATTTTTCACATATGTAACCGAACTAAATTTTACTTTTTATGTGACTGTGAATTTTAGTTAAGAGCAAAGACGAGGTAAACAGTATATTTTTTTATATTCAATATTGTGTAGCCAGTTTTGTTTATAGTTATATAATTGGAACATAAACATGTTTATATCACATGATTATTTTTTTGATTAGCACTGCAAACAAATACAAAACTACATGTACCTCATAAATACATCCTAACAGAAATTTTGTAGACTTGAATTACGTCACCTCTAAATACAGTGTAAATTATTTTATTTTCGCTGGGAATTAATTTTCGCTATTTTCGCAGAAGTTATGATTCAGTGAAAATAAAATCCAGCGAATATACGTTTTTTCCTATATTTTGCATTAAACTCATCAAAAATAAGTGAAAATAAATTCCATACCCAAAAAGTCTATTTACGCGAAAATTAATTCTAGCTAAAATAAATTATTTTACAGTATGTCTTTCAGCAAGAGGGGTCAGCCCCAAGATCTTTAGTCCTCCATTCATATGCTCTATACTTCAAACTAACTATCGGTACTAACTTTGAGTATGATGTAAAAGCTATTACCGGTATATCCAATATTGTTCAAGTTTGAAATTGATGTTATTTTCATAAATTTTGAAAAATATATTAAGTATATTCATATTTTAACAATTTAGAAAGGTGGCATTATTCAAAGTTTGGTGAAAGTAGATAAATATTGACAATATATTGACGTTGGTTAGTGAGACCAGTCTCTGTTGCATGTAGGTAATTTAAAATTTGGTCAAACGTGATTAAAATATGGTGGCTGTATTAGTACAAAGAAATTAATAATTTTATAAAAACTTCGGGAATAATTAATATTGATTGACCATGCACAACACTCAAAGTTTGATGAATTTTGATCAATATTAACGATATATTGACACCCGTCTATCTTTTTTTCAAAGAAATATCATTGAACATATCTGATTGATTGAATAGTTTCGGCATCATGAATATTCATTTGGAATTTTTAGAAATCAAATTTAACGAAGCTGTGGTAAATATAACATCACATTTTGATTTGATTTTTTGTTTTTAATTTGCAGATACATGTATATTAGATATGTTACACTTATTGCATCTAATTGTCTTTAATTCTAACTTTGTAGCTTTTCTCTGGATGGATTCAAGTAGTTGGGTGTTCTTACTTAATTGCAGGTTTCATACCAGTAAATTTGATGTCAATCTAGAAGTGCCATTCATTTTTTAAATTTGATTTGATTGCCAGTTTACATTGCCTCTAAATACATCTACTCAAATGATTACCAGTTAATTGTACAAATTTTCTACTCAATTGCAACTCAGCAATGATCTCTTCTTTTTTCTATACCCACAGTTTTCTCCTTGAAATGTGCAATCCAACAGTATGCCTGGGGCAGAATTGGCGAGGACAGTGAGGTCGCCAAATTGAGCCAAAGCATAGACAAGTCGTTTCAGCTGCAGAAGGACAAACCGTATGCTGAGCTATGGATGGGCACTCATCCAAGTGGACCCTCTCAAATTTTGAGTGAAAGCATCGTCGAGAAATCCCTCGGCGACTGGATTGAGAAACATCCTGAATGTCTAGGTGATAAAGTTCGGGAAAAGTTCAAAGGTCAACTACCGTACCTGTTCAAAGTGTTGTCTGTCAATAAAGCGCTGTCAATACAAGCACATCCTAATAAGGTAAAGTAAATAAATGTTTATACACGGCTTGAACTTTTCGAGGCAAAACATTTCGAAAATCTTGATTTTCATCGAAACATTGTAGTGAATATTTAAGGCCTCCAATTGTCAGTTTGGGCATTGAGACTATTGTCTTTATAAAGATTATCATAGAATCAATTATCTTTTCCATGTAGAGTGGTTGTCATTATGCAACACATGTTTAAATTTTGTGTATGTTGCATGGTAACTATATTGGTAACATAATGCCTGGCAACAACCACCGCTCATTATTGCAATAAGGCGTTCATTCATATGACTGTGCGTAGGTGAGTGCGCCATGAAAATATAGTAGTAATTGAAGGAAAAATCAGTAAAAATTGATGACTGGTTGTCATATTTACATTTTGTGTTTTTCAACACATTTACATTTTACCTCCATGTCACTCCCATGATGCATCTCACTTATGTGAACAATATACCGGTAGTGATTTTATCTCCGCTTCGAAAGACAAAAGTAGTTTTACATAAATTCAAAATGGAATTTGGTGAATTCTAATCATTCACAATTAGTTAAAATATCATAACTTGTTACTTTACATGTATTTTGTCATTGTCTCTGTATGTATATAGGAGCATGCTGAAGCCCTTCATTCTGCAAGGCCAGATATCTACAAAGATCCAAATCACAAGCCAGAGATAGCGATCGCACTGACTACGTTTGAAGGTCTTTGTGGATTCCGTCCAATCTCACAAATTGTAGGATTTTTTAAGAGTAAGTTGAGCCTATAGTTTTCATCAAGCAAAGTTAATTATTGTCCAATAGTTTATATTAATTATTATCCAAATTTGAGTGATTGGTTCTGCACACTTTGCAACGTAATCCTTCCATTATTTTCTCCAGCAATTCAAACGTTATTATTATTGATGAGAAATAAAAATAGTTACACCTTTAAAAGTTTCTGAAATTTATCAATATCTTTAAATCCACAATCATGTTACCAATGATTAAATCCCACTCTACTCATTCAACCACTCGTCAATTTTGATTTTTTTCATCAAATGATTAGGCCAATTAATGAACCGATTACAGTACTATGTTCAGTGTGGATCATATTTTATCATATATTCTACCATTTGAGTAGTGGTAAATCAAACCACGTCCAGAAAAAAAATATTTTCAACTAACTTTATTTCTATGACCTATATTCATGCATATTTGTTAAAATGAACTATAAAATAATAGTAAATAGTTTCCTTTAATTGCCACAGCCCAAGAAACAAGTGACTGTGACTTTGTATAATTAATTCAAATTTAAATAATATGTGGTCCTGTCAATACAATCATTATGAGCATAAATTCGCGAGTGCAAATAATGTATCATCATTAAAACCTGTAATATAACATTTTTTTTAATAATTGCTTTTTGTTTTTTCTCCTCCCCCAGCTGTGCCAGAATTCAAAGCTGTTGTTGGCACGGACGGTGTGGATCAACTGACATCTGCTTTTGATGCTAGCGACCCCAACCCTGGCAAAACATGTAGAGCTGCCCTCAAGAAATGCTTTGCTGGAATGATGACATGCCAGGATGATGTGGTTGCCAAGCAACTGGCATCACTTGTGGATAGAATATCCATTGCTGGTAGTTATATAGGGCTTAGTTACTAAAATCTGTTTTTAAATGTTGTCAACTTTATTTCGACCGTATATTGCTACAGATGAACCTCATTATAGAGTGAACAGAGTTTGAATCTAGGATTAATGCTGTTTTCTTTTTTGTTGTCCATTAATCAAAGTTGTACTCTGAAATGATTCCTACATGTGACATATTTGATGTTATGAATGTTCTGATCACAAATCCTACAATTTACACTATATTTTGAAACTGTGTGGTGTATTTTACCATTTTCAGTTAAAGAATCTAAGGATGTCAGCGAAGTTAATGGAGAATTGTTGACAAGATTACATGACAAATTCCCTGGTGATGTTGGATGCTTTGCCATTTATTTCTTAAATCATATGATATTGGAGCCGGGTCAGGCCATGTACCTTGGACCGAATGAGCCGCATGCATACCTCAAGGGAAGTAAGTGAAGAGATAATTGTACTGTGTAATATTGCAAATCAACAATTATCTGAAACAACATATAAAATGCATATGACCATTTATGGGATTCGGTCCAATTCTGGATTTAGAGGTTGATTATTAAAAAACTCATGAGGGGGTGGGTAAATAAAAAACTTCTATTTATAATAACGTGATGGAAAAACGAGGAGGCAGAAGGGACTGATTTGTATGACACATGATTTTGTAAGGGGAATTTAGAGGAATCAACTGATCGATGTGTATTTTCCTTGTCTTGTAGATTGCATTGAGTGTATGGCATGCTCGGACAATGTGGTGAGAGCTGGACTCACACCAAAATACAAAGATGTACCCACGCTATGTGAAATGCTAACATATGAGCCAAGTGCACCGAAGGATAAGCTCTTCCCATGTGTTCCTGATCCCAAGGACAGCAGTGTCCATCTTTACAACCCCACTGTGCCAGATTTTGCAGTTTCACGGATAAAGGTGAGAGGAA